TATCTATCTATCTATCTATCTATCTATCTATCTATCTATCTATCTATCCTATCTTCCTACTATTGAATTTTCTGAATTTAAAGCAGTTGCCCATTGAAAACCTGAATAGGTATCAATCATGTGGTGTGTAGATTTTAGTTTTCCAAATTTTGCAAGATTGAAGACATCAATCTGCTAGTTTTAATTCCTTGGGTACTGTTTAGGTTACTTCCTGCAAGTAGAGGTGTTTGGTTATATAAAGAAAAATAGGACATGTCCTTATAATTTCCTTGACTTATTGCCATGTAATGGAAAAGTCTTTTTTAAATGCTTGCTATTGACATGATGTTTTCAATGAAATTTTGATGCCTTCAGCACATTTCTAATCAATAATTGATCAATTTATGTATTACCTTGTGCTAGAGGACCTGGCAGATCCATCTAGGATTGGATGTGTGTTATGTATATGGGGTGATTTCTATTCCTGATTATATCTTGTAACTAAATAAATAATGAAGTCAATTATGTCTCATCTGGTATAAATTCAGTGGTTTCAGTATGCAAAACAATTTTCTGCACATTGTGAATTGGTAACTATGTTGAGAGGTTCTTTAAAATCCTTTACTACCATAAGAATGGCATATAATTCTGAGTTTTGGACAGAATCATAAAGGTTTAGATCCATTGTATTTAAATCTTCTGACTTGTAACCTGCCTTTCCTTTTTTATTCGCATCAGCATAGAATATTGGTGTGTCCCATACAATGTGAAGAAGTTAGTTCTCTTTATAAGTTGAATTCCTGCGCTTTTGGGATAGTTGTTGTTAATCTCTCCCAAAAAATTACTACAAGCTCTTTGCCAGGGTTTACTTTTTGCTCATAATTTGTCAATTTCATCTTTATTAAAAGGTACTATAATTTCTGCTGGGTTTATTCCTGGTAATTGAAAAAGTCTTCATTTTTATTTTAGAATTAACTCAGAGACCTCATTCACATAAGTTTTTAATTTTTCAATTAGTTTAAAATCCATTCTAAGGGAATAACTTTCCTCTGCATTAAAATTCTGTAGGGAATGTTGGAGGGTAATATGATCAGAATGCAGTTAAGATTTGGATCTACATGTACCCTCTGTAATTTCTCTCCAATCAAAGTCAATTCTCTCTCAGTTCAGCTGATAATTCCTTGGGACTATTTAAGTCCTTGTCACCATCTGGGATTTTGTTTAAATGAATCAGTTCATCAGGTTTTATCTCAATAGTGCTCTGTAGATGGGATTGTCTCCTAGCAATCTTTGGAAGTCATTAATAGTCCACAATCGACCTCTCCTAATTTGTACCTTTTGGGGCCTAATTTTTTTGCAAACCAATTTTATAGCCTAAATAATTAATAGAATATCCTCTTTGTATTTTTAGGAACAATTTGTAATCCCCAATAAGGCAAATTTTTGTTTACTTATTCAAATATTCTTTCTACACTATCCACATTTGAGTCAGAAAGCAAAATGTCATCCATGTAATGGTAAACTATAGATTCAGGAAATTGCTTACATATCATTTCCAATGGCTGACTCACAAAATAATGGCACAGGGTGGAGATATTTAACATTCCCTGTGAGAGAATATTCTGTTGATATCATTTGACAGGTTGAGAATTATTATAATTAATAAGTCTGTGTACTGTGAAGGCAAATTTTTCTCTGTCTTTTTCTTATAAATGTAAAGTGAAGAAACAATCTTTTAAATCAATAACTATAAGAGGCCATACTTTGGACAATAGGGAAGACAGAAGAATTCCAAATTATAGAGATCCCACTGACTGATTTACCTTATTAGTAGCTCTTAGATCTGTTACCATTCTCTATTTTCCATATTTCTTTTAAGCAACAAATACAGAAGAATTTCAAAGGCTGGTCTATTCTTCAATATGCTGAGCATTTAGTTGCTCCTATACCATATGTTCTAAAGCCTGTAGTTTCTCTGTTTTAAAGACTATTGATTAATCCAAAACAGGTTTGTCATCAATAATTTTAAAGGTAGGGCTGTTGGTACCTTTGGAAGATCAGCATTTGTTATACCCTCTTCTTGTACAATCTGAATGGTTGGTGACTGTTTTTCATATCTTGTAATATTTCTCCCAGAAACATACATTAATACATCAATTTATGGTTTGTTTCTAAGATAGGGAGAGTGTTAATTAGATTATTCCATTGCTATAACAAATCATGTCCCCACAAATTCATTGCTACGTTAGCCACACATGCTTTTAATATTCCTCTCTGTTCTTTTGGCCATATACTTTCAACCCATTTTGCACTCTGCTTTACCTGAGATAAAGTTCCAATCCCTAAAAACTGAAAATTTGAAACTTGATGAGGCCAGTTTGAATGCCAAGATTCTGATGAAATTATTGTTACATCTACACCTGTGTCTACTAGACTTTCAATGACAATACCATTTATTTGTATTTTTAATTTTGGTCTTCTTCATTTATAGAAGTTTACCAAAATACTTACTTTGTGGTTTCTCCTTATTTTTTGTTCTCTCTTAGCTGTTCAATTATCCAAAGCAGTATATTTTCTTACAATAGGCCATTAGGTTCTTTAATTGCTCTGGGAAGGAGTTTCCTCTATGATAGCAGAAAATGACTGAACCAGATTTGGCATAGGGCCTGTGAGAAGGCCCTCAAGATAGTTCCTGATGGCAAAGGATTACCTTGAATATCTCTTGTTGACCTACATTCATTAGTCCAAAGCTTGCCTTTGCCACACTTTCTGCATAATCCAGAAGGGAGGGGCATTATGAATGGATTATGCTTAGAAAATTCATTGTTTCTAGGAATGCCCTATTCACAACCCCCTTTAAGGTGACCTTGTGCTGCTGGACAATGATCTTATACCCTGTAAAGGTGTATCAATTACACTGATTTAATAAAATGTTAACTGGCCAGGATTCTGGCAGGAAGTATAGGCAAGGTGACCAGAACAGGAGAATTCTGAGAAGAAGGGCTCAGTCTGCAGTTGACACAGAGGAAGCAAGATGAGAATGCCTCACTGATAAAAGGTTCCAAGACACATGGCTAACACAGACAAGAGTTATGAGCTAATTTAAGATGTAAGAGTTAATAAGAAGCCCAAGTTTAAAATTATTGTAGACTTCTGTGTGTTTCTTTGGGACTGAATGGTTGTGGGACCGGGTGGGACAGAAACCTCTGTCAACAAATGGTACCAGTGTGGACAGCCAAATCCATTTAAAACCTGAGAAAGAGTTTGGGAAGTAATTCTAGACACAAATGAACAGAGTACAACACAGCTTTTTGGTAGCAGCATTTTTTTCAGGTGGGCTCTGTTTGCTAGAGGCAGGTGTGTCTCATTTAAGAGAGGCTTCCTAATTCAGCTTTAGCTGCAAAAACCTTGCAGTCCTTTAAAGAGGGTCTGCCACAAAACACTCAAATGGTGTTTATGAATAGCTGACAGCGTGCTTCTTGGTGGTGACAAGACCTCAAAACTCCACAGAGTTGTGGCAATAAATATGGCTCCTGCCAGTATCTCCACCATGAGGCTAGACTCTCAGAAAGCTAAGAAATGGGGTGGATCCAGCTGTCAAAGCCATGGCTCTAATCCTAGCCATATCATTTGTCAAAGACTCATTTGATCAGAAAAAGAGAAATATACAGTAAAGATTGATTCAGATGTAAGAAAACCTCTAAATGTTCTACAGTGTGTTAAAAATACTTGTAGGTTTGGGAGAGAAAAGAAAAAGGATAAAGACTTTTAAAAAAAAAAGAAAGAACAAACTTGGGTACAGTGGAACATACATTTAATCGCAGCCCTTGGGAGGCAGAGGCAGAGGCAGGTGGATCTTTGTGAATTCACAGACATCCTGGTCTACAGAGTGAGTTCCAGGGCAGCCAAAGATACACATTGTCTTAAAAAGTTAAAAATTAAAAAGAAAAAGAAAAAAAATAGAGTTTAAAATAAAGCCACATAAAGATGGAAAATACACACAGAGTCTGGATACTGTATATTATTGTGTTGCCTTTGACTTGTATGACTGCTGAGGAAGGAGCAACAGCTGCTAAAAGACATTTGATTATAAAAGGTTCTGGATTAATCCAACATATGTATTTTGAAAATGCCTTGACTTCAAAATTTAAGTCAAAAGGTATCTTACTTTGGAGAAGAGGTTTTGCTTTTGTTTCTACAGGAAATTAGAGGTTGTGGATTCATTCTGGGCTAAGAAAAATTAGGTTGGATCAAGGAAGACCCCCTAAGAAATCACTAATTGGAGGGGATGTCTCAGATGATCAGATATTTCAGAGGATCTCTATTGGCATTTCCTCTGAGTTCTACATCCAGAACAGTTTCAAGACTGCTAGCTGAGATGATCAAGCCTCACAGAATACTACAGTCAGGACTTGACCATAATTCTAAATTTTCTTTAGGTCCCCATAAGATTATCAGCATCCCCAATCAGCAGGAAACAGCCTAGAAAACTATGACCACATTCCCCAAAATGGATTATGGATATTTTTCTTTGTTTAGAATGTTGGTTATGAGTTGCTATGGATAATGGTAAGCAAAAAATCTAAACAACGGAGATTAGATTTGGAAATCTTGTTTTGAAAAAAAAAAAAGA